CTGAGGCTCCCAGCGCCTGACACTGACGCCGACACACTGAGGCTCCCAGCGCCTGACACTGACGCCGACACACTGAGGCTCCCAGCGCCTGACACAGGAATCACTGCCACTGATACAGTGAAACAGTAGGTTCCTGCCATTGAAAAATGGACACATTGAGTTACTGATATAGTGACACACTTAAACACTACATGGCATGTCGTCCATTATGTCTTTTATTCTTAAAGAATAAGCAGAATAATAGATCGCTCCATGCATGGTTTCTATGTGTCTGTAAGTTTGCGTGTGTTTGCGTGTCTAGGTGAGGCAAGCAGCAGGCAGGCTCGTCCCAGTGCAGTCAGATATAGCCGAGGCTCCCTCTTTCGTTCATTCTCACCTTCGCTCTCACACTGTTTCTCCATCCGGGCTCAGATCAGAGATGCCCGATCGGGGGGCAGAGAGAATCGGAGATGCGCTGTGCAGAGATGGAAGTCACCCCCTTAGCCAAAGGGCAAGCCAGTCTCCCTTAATGCAGAGCCCCGAGACAGCTCCTGCACACTCTGTCTCTAGAGCTGCACACTCCCTGTCCCCACTCTCGCGCTCTCTTTTGCCCCTTTCCCCGAGGACTTTACAGCCCCTGCCTTCTCTTCCCCGATCCAGCAAAGCTCTAACGGACGCCCGGGAGATTCTTGGATGGTGGGATAGGGGGAGCTCCGATGCTAAATTGAGTTCAGGGTTGATGGACCCCGTTGCCCGTCGGCCGCGGGAAACCCAGCTCCCACATTCCCCCACAAGCCTCTCTCCTGGAAACACGGTTAGATTCGCCAACGAGAGCCCTGGACGGGGCTTTCATCAGGGCGGGGAGACAAGATGGCGCAGCGATAGTATTGGGAGCCCCAGAGAGAGGATGTCCTCCAGGGCAGGGCAGAGAGCGAGGGGCTCTCACACTGCTGCCAGCCTGCCCTTGGGGTCCAGTCCGCTCGCCTTACCGGAGGCCCAGCCACCCTGGATGACGGGGATGGAGGTCCCAGGCGGGGGTCCTGCCCCTGAGGGAGAGGACAGAATCGGTAAGGCTGATCTTCAGAGTCCGGATTTGGGAGCATTGATGGAGAACCCCAAGACAGGCTGCTCCAACAGCAGCCACATCCCACAGGAGAGCGGGGCTTCAGCGCCTGGCTCCCCACTCCTTCTCAAGCTGAGGCCCCAGGGCCTCTCTCCGTGCAGGAAAGGTAGGAGGGAGCCAGAGCGCGGAGGCAGAGGAGTCAGGAAGGCAAGAGGCCAAGGGACAGGGACAGTCAGAGTACACCAGGGCACAATCAGACCCGGAGCGCAGGAGTGTAAAGACAGTGAGCAGGTACGGAGAGAGAGCCGGAGGGAAAAAGAGGTAGCAAAGGAAAGACGGAGTGACTGAGAGACGAATGGTTCATTGGAAGGCTTGTGTTTCCCTGTCGGATGGCGATCAGCGATTACAATGCTTGATTACAATGAGGGTAGGAAACCTGTGAACAGTCAGTAAAAGATCAAACAGGGATAAATATGCTATACAGCCCAGTGCAGGATTTATAAAATAAAAAGTTTAAAGAGGGGGGAAAAAACAGCTCCAGTAATGCTCTGTGTTCTGGTGGGCCAAACAGTGAAGGCAGGAGAGCTGGAACATTTTTACATGTGTGGAAAATTCAGAGCCATTTTGACTCTCTAATGAGTAAGACTTCTTCCATCTGTCTTTTATGTAATACAAAATCTTAAAATCTTTCATATTGTCCTCATTCTTCAGATTCTAATGAGAAAGGCTTTCCCAGTCAGATGAAGCTCTTCAAAGTTTAGTAAAATGATAAGCAGAAGCTTGTGGTTCTTTTCCTGACTTTTACCTCTCCTTGCACTGTTCCAGCTTTAGTAGGGAAGAGATTTTTGAATCATGTACCAGCATGTATCTGGGTATATGGGAACAAAATAGAGAGCAGAGCCTCCATACTGACCTCAAGAATGATCAATCAATAACTTTCCAATCATTTTATTTGGTATTGCACCCTTCAGATCATCTGGACTCAGTGAGCACTGCATATCCACTCATTCCAAAGAATGCACTGCATATTTTTTGCATTTTCCATAACAAGTGCTCTAACTGATGAAAAGTTGCAGATCATGGAGGGTTTTAACGAAGTCAGTGTATCAGCACTTTTCATTGCTTAAATTTGCAATATTCTTTTATTTTCCAAGGATTGTTCATGCCGAGGTACCTACTATGTGCCTAGCAATCGGTTTACCTCATACTTTATTAGAAAACCATCCGTCTTCAGTATATTTTGAACCAATCGCTCATTCTGTTGTATTGACAATGTTACGTTTGATTGATAGATCAAATACAAAGTGAAATTGATTTTTTTTTGTAGATCCTATTGTGTTGTAAGCATGTTGTGATAGTTGTAGTTTTAGAGGTTAAGTTGTAGCCTGCACTTGGCTCTAGCCATATGTCTGATCTCTCTCTTTCCCCACCCCAGCCGGTGAGCTCAGCGCTAGGGCCCCTGCAGGGTCCTATGGGGTCTTTGGCCCCACTTCGGGGGTTGGCAGATCCCCTGTCTTCTTCCCTGAGGGGCTCGGCCGGGAGCTCCGGAGGGCTGGAGCCCCTGAAGACGTCACTTGGGGTGAGTACTGTATCACTTTCCCCCTGCATTGGATTGACACTGACACGGATACTAACACTGGTGCAGTGTCAACACAGTGTCTCAGTCCTGATTCGAGACTGACACTAGTGCTCACACTAACACTGATGATACAGTCGTTGGTGCTGATTCTAGACAGACACTAATGATCACACTGGCACTGGCACTGACACGATGGAGACACTGGTGCCAGCACTAGTCATGATTCTGGATTGACGTTAATGCTCACACGATACAGTCATTGGTGCAGCTCTAGTCCTGATTCTAGACAGACACTAGTACTCACACTAACACTGATGATACAGTTGTTGGTGCAGGTGTAGTCCTGATTCATTTCCCTCTCCTCCTCTCTCTGTCACACACTCCTGTTCTCGTCCTCTTTGTATGCCTTTCCCTCCCCTCCTCACACTGTGTTAGTCTAGTGCTCATTTCATTTGATCTCTCTTCTGTGTCTCTCCCAGGCTCCTCTGTCCACACTGGGCACAAGTGTGCTGGGCCTGAGACAAGAGGAGAGGGTGTCTCTCTCTTTGCCGGGGCTGGAGGATGAAGAGGAGAGAGGCTCGGAGGCAGAGGTAGGCCTCTTCATGAGCTGTCTCATTGCACACCACAGGTTATTTTGCAGTTCAAGTGATTCCATTTTAAAAAGCTTGCTTCAGATTATCCCAGAGATTGCGGAACAGTACAGTCACCGAATACCATTTCACACAACCATACATCGTTGTCATGAAATATAACAGCAGCCTAACCAGGCTTCTGAGTTCTCCGCTGAGTTGACAAGGGCACTTAGAAACATGAAAACCCAATATGAATGAATCACTTCACGTATGAGTTACTAAACTTTAGTGTGGATTTAAAGTAAGGGATTTTATAGGGGTTGGATATGAGCTCAGGCCTTTTGTCACAAAGCAAAATGTCTATAGCAGGTGTAGCATCTTGCTCCTGTGACTGTACTCTCTCCTGTCAGAGCCCACAAGGGACAGCCCGTCTGCTGCACAACCTACACCTGGACCTCGGCTCCCTGGGCGGAGGACTGCAGTACGAGGTACACACTGCACAACAGTGATACACTGACACGTCAACACAACAGTAACACACCGGATCCACATCATAACACATTAAAAAGGGGCAGTGCGGGGGCTCTGTGGCCAAGGATCTGCGACTGTGGCCGGAAGGTTGCGGCCGGCAGAGGAATCCTACTCCGTTGAGCCCCAGAGCAAAGCCTTCAACCCCAACTGCTCCAGGGGCGCTGTACAATGGCTGCCCCTGCGCTCTGACCCCCAGCTGCTCTCCCTGTCTGTGTGTCTCATGGAGAGCAAGCTGGGGTCTGCGAAAAGACACATTCGTAATGCAAGAAATTGTAAATGGCCAATAAAGTGATCTGATCTTATCTTACTGACATGACAACACAACACTCATGCAACAGTAACACAACACTGACAAGGCAACATAGCACTGACGCAAAAGTAACATTACTTCACTGTGCTTCACTGATATGACACCACTGTGTGAACTTCAAATAAGAAGAGCTTACACAGGACTGTGTACTGTGCAAGAATAATACACACAACCACAAAGTACACCTCTCATAAAAGCTCTATTCCTTCAGCAATGATTTTGCTTTTGTGTTGTGTGCTATTAGTGTATGTGCAGACTGCACAGCCAGTGAGTGTGCAGTGTGTTGTGTGTGCTGCAGCAGTGTAGTGAAGTGTGCTATTAGTGTATGTGCAGACTGTACAGCCAGTGAGTGTGCAGTGTGCAGTGTGCTGTGTGTGCTGCAGCAGTGTAGTGAAGTGTGTTACACAGTGTCTCCCCCACCTGTGCAATCCAGGAGAGTGACGTCAGCAGGACCCCCCCGCCAGAGGAGCGCACTGAGCCCGAGCTGCAGGACCTGCTGCCTTCCCTGGAGCCCAGCCAAGACCCACCCTCACAGGTGACACTGCACTGCTCTCTGCAGATATCTTCATAGTGTGACCTTAAAGGGCAGCAGATTGCCCAGAAATGTTCATCTCAGACATCTTTGAAATGTTCCAACAGAATTATTGGTATGATAGTTTTATGTCACTTATTCTAGGGCTTAACTAAAAGCTCTAACCATCAGTATAAATCAGAAAAAATGTATCTTAAATTGGCTGTTTCATCGTCGTTGTACTTGAACACAGGTACATGTCATGTCTTTACTGCAACACAGTCAGTGTATGCTATGACATGAGCTGTAAGTAACAAGTTCATGATGTTTAAATTTGATCTGCTTTCACATTAGAAATGAAATTAGGAGCTTCAGATAAACAAGAGTATCGCATGTGTAAGCTGTGCAGACATCTTGTAAAAATGACAGATGGTCATAGAAATTTGGTTTTGGCACGCTTGCTGAGGGAGTATCGTCAATGAGATTAGGAGGATCCCCTGTGAGCTGGAATGAGCTGAGGAGATTGTGTGTGGGCATGGATGTGGAGGGCTGTGAAGTCAGGAATGCCGTGAGAAAGGAGGGCTTGTCTTTATACTTGTGTATATATATACTGATGGAAAAAGGAAAGGCAGCATTTTCTGGAATGAGAATACTGTAGTTATACATGTAGCTTATGTACTTTCACAAAAAGTTGTCAATTTGTTTTAAGCTCTCTGACCAGCAATACAGTTTGAGCAGTGAGGCATTGCAACTTGCCAATCACACGAAAGCTCGTTAGGTGCACTTTTACCCAATGAATGCCTGATCCATAATGCCTCGAATGGCACCAGAAGCTGCAGGAAGACATGTCATGTGCCAGCGTTGCCAGACACTATGGAGTGAGCCGCTCCACTGTGTCCCGACTGCAGAGGAGGTTTCAGCAGACCGGCAGGACAGATCCGACACATCAGACTGGTCCGTCTGAGAGATCGTTTCAGATCTGCCACCCGTACTGCTGCTGAATCTGCCCGCAGACGCAATGCCCACCTCAGTGACAGGACAGTGAGGCTCCGTGCTGCTGGCCTCAGAGGCCCTCTGCTCTCACCTCCTAGACGTCACACCTGACTGGCTGGGGCCACACAGAGGCTGCGATGGACCCGTCAGCAGTGGCATCAGGTCCTCTTCACGGATGAGTCCCTCTTCAGCCTGTTCCGTGCGGACGGGAGGGCCAGAGTGTGGAGGAGGAGGTGTTGCGTTTCTTTTTTCCATCAGTATATACATACAGCAGCTTTGGTGGCTCAGTGGTTGAGTTCTCACCCCACCATGTGGGAGGCCGGAGTTCGACTCCTGGCCAACGCAGGCTCCTAATAATTTATACCTGGTGCTTTCGTTCTTATAGAGCTGACTACAGTGTAGGTGCTGCCAGCTGTCTGTGTGTCTGTGTAGTGCCTGTTGTTTAGTATGCACACTGAGTTTGTCTTTGTTGTGTGCCATTTTATACCTTATAGTTTATGGTCTTCTTTTTTCAAGTTGATTAGATTGCCTTCATTTCTGTTTTTTACACACAGTTTTTAGCCATTACCTGCCCTGTGTACTTCTGATGGCTACTTTCTTTTCACTTTAAGAGTAATGAGGTTGACACTTGAGCTGACAGGGAACGACTGCGCTAATTGTTGTCTGTTATTGTAGCTGTGTGCTTTGCTCTTGTTTGACTGTTTGATGGTGTGTGTGTCCTGTCTGTCTTGTGGTTGTACATCTCCCTACCAGTGTTTGGTGTGCTTGGGTTGATGTTTTTCTTTTTCCAGTGTTGGTGGTTATACATGTTGGGTTATTGTGTGTTTGGTGTGTGCAGTAGTGATGTCATGTTTGTTGTTCTTGTCTGTATTCTTGTTTGTCATGCAAACCCTCCACAACAGGTTACATGTTTGGGAAGGCTATTGTGCCCATCTAGCAATAGTAATTAATAGGAACTAATTGTTCCAAGGTTGAAGCCAGGGTATTGACTTCAACAACATGGCTGGGAGTAACTTGTTCCATACTCCCACATCCCTTTGTGTAAAAAAAAAGAGCCTCCTGTTGTCGGTTTTAAATGTAGTTTCCGCCTGTGTTCCTGTTTCACTGTGCATTCCGAAGAACATCTTTGTCTCTCTCAATGTGTCACTGTGTCCTTGTTGTCTTTGTTGTGAGAGTTTGCCATACCATTCCCCCGGTTTTTTTCGTTTGTCTCGGCTGCACGCTGCTGGCTCGGGGATGGCGAAGGACTCCCTCTGTGGCCAGCGCCTCTCTTCTCCACTGGGGGGCAGCACAGACTGCAGCGTGGCCGCCGGCGAGACCCGGGCGCGTCCTGGATCAGGCGAGAGAGGACTGGGGAGCAGCGGAGAGGAGGAGAGAGGGCGGAGGAGGGCAGAGGACGGGGGAGCCGAGGCGAGAGAGAGTGGAGGCGCGCGCTGGGGGGGAGACGGGCGGGGAGGGGAGAGGAGGCGGCTGGGGGGTGAGGGAGACGGAGCAGAGGAGCAGACCGACGAGGAGAGGAAGTCGCCCTGGAACTTGAAACCCCAGCGACCTCCTTCCTCGCAGGGCCCCATGGAGAGCCAGGAAGAGGAGGAAGAGGAGGAAGAGGAAGAAGGGCGGGCAGCGAGAAGAGAGGAGCAGGAGAAAGGGGGAATCGTAGCTCTGGGGGCAAAGCCAGCGGGGGAAGACGAGACTGACGGTGGGCTTGACCCCTCCTCTCTCTCCTCGGGCACCCCGCCCGGGAGACGGGGGTGCCCAGCTCCGGCTCCCACGGGGACGAAGACGCAGCCTTCGGCCAGCCCCCCATATGAATGGAAGCTCCCCGTCACCGGGGCACCCCCTTCAGAGGTAGGGTTTGTGTTCACCCAGCGAGATGGCCATCGCGCCCTCCCACCTCGCCCATCCCTCTCGGTCCAGTGGGTCAGCTGTCGTGAGCTCCGGCCACATTCCATTTCACCCTGAACTCATTTGGTCATAATCTGGGGTCTCTGCCTGGCATCCAGCAGCGGCTGACCTATAAACCCTTCAAGTCCGAGGCCCTGGGAGACAGGTTTTGGGTCTGCCTGTAATAACCCTGTCACTCACCTTCACCCTGTGCTGATCCATCGACGACCAAAACCCCCCACCTTATCGCTCTCGCTGTTGTTAGTGTAACCTTTTGTGTAGTGTGACCGATGACTGGTGACGGGCTCCTCCAGCACACCTGCCTCTCACGGCCTTTTGTCATGCGACGCACCACAGGATCCAGGGTGCCTCACACGGGGAGAAGCCGCGGGTCTGCCGCTGCTGTCACGACCAGCCCGCAGGTTCACTGCTGCTTCTGAAGGCAGAGGGATCCTGGTGACACTGTCACTTGTGCACCTCTGCTTGGGAAACGTGGGCGCAGTCTGCTGTTGACTTAGTCAGGGCCCAGATGGGTCACTTTTCTGTGAACTTCTAAGAAATGTGCAAGGAGTGTACGTTATTTGTAGTACCCCTGCTGTTTAATACCGGCTGCGTTTTCTTGTTTAGTTGGTTATTGACCCAAGGGTATCATCCAGCCTTTTCTTGAAAGAGTCCAGGGTTTTAGCTTCAGTGGTATGGCTGAGGAACCTGTTCCAGACTGGTCTCTTCTCGGTCTTTATAAGTACTCTTCCTGTGGTAACGCGTGTGTGTGTATCTCCGTGTGTGTGTGTCCGTGCCCTGAGTAAGTATGCCGTGTGTGGTGCAGAAAAACGTGCACAGTGTTTTCACTTTTCCCATACCATACCATGCTTTTGCAATGATTTCACTTTGTTTTACTGCGTTTTCCTCTGCGTCAACCACGGCAGACTCTTATTAGAGGTATATCGGCGCTTCTTTTCAATTCTGTTGCCTAACCTCTGATAAGACGGATACCCTTTTTAAGTAACTGCTGAGAATTGCTTCACCGATTGTATATGTGTTGGAATATTCACGTGCAGTGAATGCAATGGATGAAATGTGTCTACCCTTATCTGTAGGGCGTGCTGTCAGTTTGTCCCTCTCCTGCTGACAATCTGTCTCTCTGCAGGACTCGGAGGCCAGTGAACATATTGAGGGACCCTCCCTGCACTCTGAGGATCGTACCCAGGTAGGGCACTAACGGGTTTGAATAGTGCTTTCCTAGCTGTATCATAATATTAGGGCTGTCCTGCCCACTTATCCAGTACTATATACTGTACTTGTTACCTCAGTAATGTTAAGCTACGGGGCAGGTGTCATCAACATGCCTGTTGTTACACCTAAGACTCAGGCATTCAATTTTATTTTCTGTCATGTCCTCAGTTTGGAATTCTCCGTTTTTCTTTACCATCATCACTACGGAGCAGGGGCTGAGATCACCCGTTGTTCCAACCCCTGCTGTATTCAGCCAGTGGTCTGTTCCTGTCTGTGGGAATATCCTAGTATCGGCCTTCTAAAGATTTACTGCAGGACAGATTATCTTCTCACTTCTGAGCTTTAAATGACTAGATTAAGTCATTGTTTTGACTAAAAACTAAGAAAGATGAGATATCGGGCGGAGCAGTGGCTCTGTGGCTCAGGATCTGCGCCTGTGTCTGGAAGGTTGCCGGTTCAAATCCTGTGGCCGGCAGAGGAATCCTACTCCGTTGGGCCCCTGAGCAAGGGCCTTAACCCCAACTGCTCCAGGGGTGCTGTACAATGGCTGAACCTGCGCTCTGACCCCAAGTTTCTCTCCCTGTCTGTGTGTCTCATGGAGAGCAAGCTGGGGTCTGTGAAAAGACAAATTCTTAATGCAAGAAATTGTATAGGGCTAATAAAGTGATCTTATCTTATATTGTGTCATTCAGTCATGCAATAATTATCTCTTTTTGAGCAGTGACAAAAAGACATATTGGACTGTATGCTGCAAGTTAAGCAGGGTGTTTGTACTTTTGAGCACAGAGAACTTGGAACAAAAGGAGATGAGCAAACAGAAGCACATCAGACATGCATGGTGTTTTATTGGCATAGCATGAGCAGAGTCCCCCGCTCTGAGCTCGGCAGGACTCCCTGTTGGACTGGTTCGTGCTGGCACCTGTTGGGTCCAGCTGGGCAGGTAACCTGGTGCCGTTGTGACTCTGCAGAGCTCGGCTGGGTTCCAGTCCAGGGTGTTCGAGCAGGTGCTTGACGTGGAAGATCTCTCCCCTGCCCCGGAGGGTGCAAGGACACTGGTCAGTACACCGTGCGGCACTCTGACAGCAATGCACACGCATTGTGCTGTCAAGTCTATACTGTTAATACACTGCCTTGTGAATCTCTGTACTGTACTTCTAATACACTGAAGTGTAAGTTAACCGCATGCTTTGTACTGGACCTACACTGTCATATCTGTGCTTCACATGCTGGATTATACTCAGTCACACTTGTGGCTCTACGTACCATACTTCCAACTGTCTAGTAGGGGTGGCATCCTGGCCAAATTTCCCAGTGGCCCTTACCAATCATGGCCTCCTAATAATCCCCATCTCTGAACTGGCTTCATCACTCTGCTCTCCTCCCCACTGAGAGCTGGTGTGTGGTGAGCGTTCTGGCGCACTATGGCTGCCGTCACATCAGCCAGGTTGGGCTGCACACTGGTGGTGGTGGAGGGGAGACCCCATTAGCTGTAAAGCGCTTTGAGTGGAGTGTCCAGAAAAGCGCTATATAAGTGGAAGCAATTATTATTATTATTAGAAGTACTGCATTCTGTTTTATCTTGCAGTTCTATATTGCAATGGACAGCAGCAGAACAGTATCGTACAGTATGGTGCTGTGCTGTGGTCGAGGTGGAGCCACACTGTGTGACTTACCTGCCTTTCCTGACTGCTGTTCTCCAGGACAAGGACGTCACAGAAAGGCAGGAAGAAGGGAGCATGAAAATGAAAGAGGAAGATGAGAGGAGGAAGAGGGCAGAGGCAGCAGAGAGGTACTCAGCAGCTGACTGATGCAAAATCCAGTATTTCCCAGTGTTCAAAAGATTCAGATGGACTGTGATCAAGTCTTAAATATATACAGTGCTTTTTATTGTATCTCTTGCCTGGTACCCTTTTACTTTGGTTGTCTTATTACAGTATGTTGAGTTATTGTAGACACCAGTGTTCTGTATTATATATAATTTACTGTTAAGTTTTTTATAGATCATTGAATGTTATTGGACTTGGATAAAGCTGTCGGCTAAATACAAATCCAGTAACTATCAAAAGTCACCCCACATGGTCATTTTCACATTTTTTATGTTATGGAACCCAGGCAAGCTCTGGTCACTGATACAATTTTGAATCATAATGTATTTGGGTTTGTTTTGTCATTGATAGACCCGAAACACTCTATAACATCAAGGTGAAGACAAAGTTCTATGGAACCTCCTAAATTATGTATAACACAGAAAATAGGTGCTTGTGTAGGGATTCACCACCCTTGAGCCAATATTTGGTAGAGGCACCTTTCTCGGTAATTACAACCATGAATCTTAGATCAGTCTCTGCTAGTTTTGTGCATCTGGACAGTGTACATCAATTTTGGTCCATTCTCCTTTCCAAAATAGCTTAAGCTCTCTTAGGTTGGATGGAGAACATTGGTGAACAGCAGTTTTCAACTCCTACCACAGATTCTCAATTGGATTGTGGTCCAATCAATCCACACTCTGTTGATTTTAGTTGCTCCAGTGTGCCTTTAGCTATATGTTTTGGGCCATTGTCCTACCAGATGATGAATTCTAAGCCCCAGGTCTCTTGCAGACTGCTGCAGGTTTTCCTTCAGGATTCCTTTGCGAATCCTGGATTCATTTTGCCTGCCGTCCTCACAAGTCTTCCAGGCCGCGACGCCAACGTTTTATATCATATGATCTTGAGCACAAGAGCTCACATCTGGTCTTCTCTATGACTTACACTCCCGTATCTCATATGAGCGCACATGACAAACAGGAATATAAACATATCTTGACAGTACATTTATTTGTCACGTTTTCGGAAGTCCAGAACACTGAAGGAAATTGTATTTTAAAATATTATGGACAAAGCATATTAATAACTGACCACATATCAGGCACTTTATCCCGAATGGTATTAAACTGCAGGTGGAAACTTATTCAAATATTTTCAAATATTTCAGTGTATTTTAAAAGCAATATCAGGAATATAAATTCAGGGTATGTTCCTGATATTTCACATACTTAAAGATACAGCATCTTCGCTCGACACAGACCAGTGCGCACAGTTGTCAGTAGGACGTTGCCTGCCTGACGTTCTGGTCTCCCTGTGCTGTGCTTCTTAGGCGGCTGAAGGAGGCAGCGAGGACAGAGACGGCTCCAGAGACGAGGGCCCGGAGCCCAGTGGCTCAGACTGCAAGTGGCCTTGAGTCCGAGTGCAGTCCCGGGGAGGAGGGAGGCAGCAGGAGCCGGAGGAAGAGGCCAGAGATGGCGAGAGGCAAGCCAGTCACTCCAAGCAGTCAGCACAGCCACAGCTCCGATGAAGATCAGGGGCTGGAGAGGCTGGCCCCTGCCTCCTCCTCGGAGAGGAAGAAGCGGGAGAGGTCGGAGGTCCGCCTCGCCGAGTTCGCGGAGGAGACGGAGCAGAAGCTCGAGGCGCGACGAGCCAGGGCCCTGCAGGAGAGGCGGGAAAGGCTGAGCCGCCTTGCAGAGGAGCTGAGGAAGGAGGACGAAGAGGAGGAGCGGAGGCTGCGGCAGGAGAACCAAGAACGGATCAGGTTGCGCACACACTCGGGCTGACCCACAAGCACACTCTCCCCGCCGCCGGGCCTGATGGCCCCCCCCACTCCCCTCTGCCGGACCTAAGGCCCCCCTGCGCTCCCCGACGCCGGGCCTGAGACATGCTCGCACTCCCTGATGCTGGGCCTGAGGCCCCCCCCGCACTCCACGCCACCGAGTCTAACACCTGGCCTGAGGCCCCCCCCGCACTCCCCGACACCGGGCCTGACGCTGGGCCTGAGGCCCGCTTGCGCTCCCCGACGCCGGGCCTGACGCTGGGCCTGAGGCCCGCTTGCGCTCCCCGACGCCGGGCCAGATGCTGGGCCTGAGGCCCGCTTGCGCTCCCCGACACCGGGCCGGACGCTGGTCCTGACGAACACTCCCCGACGCCAGCAACAGGGAGCGCAAGTGGGCCTCAGGCCCGGTGTCAGGCCCGGCGGAGAGGAGTGCACTCGCGCTCCCTGACGCTGGGCCTGAGTCCCACTGGCGCTCCCCGACACCGAGGCCGGACGCCCGCTCGTGCTCCCCGATACCGAGCCGGACGCACACTGGCGCACCCCAATACCGTGACACCGACACTCGCGCTCCCTGACACCGGGCCGGACGCTGGTCCTGACTGGGACCAGTGTGTTTGTACTGTGTGTTACAGATCTGGTCCGGTGTGTGCACGCCCTGTATGAGGGTTTGTAATATTTTCACAGGGCACTGAGAGAGAGGCTACAGGGGGAAAGAGAGGAAGAGGAGAGAAGGCTGAGACTGGTGTCTGAGGAGAAACTGCAGGACCTCAGACTCTCCACACAGACACAGAGAGAAGCTCAGGAGCAGCACCTCAGGTCAGCCACTGCATCACGAATGAGAGATACGCCAGCAGTTACCACTGATGAAACCTTAACGTGCACACTATGATAGAAGTATATAATAATAATAATAATAATGTTGCATTATTAACCCTTTACAATTTCTTGCATTAGGAATTTCTTTTCGCATACCCCAGCTTGCTCTCCATAAGACACACAGACAGAGAGAAGCTTGGGGTCAGAACGCAGGGTCAGCCATATATATGGCGCCCCTGGAGCAGTTGGGTTTAAGGGCCTTGCTCAGGGGCCCAACGGAGTAGGATTCCTCTGCCGGCCGCGGGATTTGAACCGGCAACCTTCCAGCCACAGGCGCAGATCCTGAGCCACAGAGCCCCCGCTCCGCCCAATATGTAATAAAACTAATATTATATCAGATTAGATTTACATAATGTGTCTTATGTTGTATGGCTATACAGGGTGAGTAAATGGTTTTAAATTGTAACTAATAGCTTGTAATAAAGCTTTTCATAGTGAGCGTATTAATTAAAGCCAATTTTCTGCCTCCCGGGTCTCTCTAAGTGTCGCCCTGTCTCATTTATTTGTGCGTCTGTGTCTGCGAGTCAGGGAGGAGGGCGAGTCGGCTCTGCGGGAGCTGAGGGCAGCCCTGGAGGCAGACCGGGCCGCCGAGATGAAGAGGCTGGAGGAGCACCGGCGGCAGGAGCTGGCAAGACTGCGGCGGGAGGCCGAGGAGGAGCTGAGGCAAGAGAGGCACAGGCTGGAGGCCGAGAGGGAGGCACAGCTGGAGGCAGTGAAGAAAGAGGTGAGAACGCAGCGCCGAGGAAGGCTTTTCTACACACAGCCCATCCACTTAGAGGGGCGATCCTCACCCCAGGCCAGGACTTTCCTTTTGTCTGAGGTCCGAGTCTTCTGAAAAACACAAGTTTCTTGTGCACGTCTTTCCGAAAATATGGTTCTCTGCATAGGTTCAGTGGTTAAAATGAAGGGCTTCCTTAAAGTTTTTTCCGGGGTAAGGGAATGTATGGTTTTATTTTGACCTGTCAAGAATATAAGAAAGATCACAAACAAAAAGAGGCCATTTGGCCCAACCAGCCCTAATTAATTAAAGTTATTAAGTTATTGATCTGTAGATCCCATCCAGCTATTTCTGGATATAAGCCAAGGTACTGGTTTCGACAAATTGAGCTGGGCAGCCCTTCCCGACTCGAATGTCGATGTGGCTCTGCGCTGCGCGTCCGCCCCATAATCGAAGTGAAACACTGAATTGCACAGCAGTAACACTCTGTGGTGTGTAGCAGGGGAAGATCGCTCAGGAACTGAGCCACGAGAAACAAGAAGAGCTGCTGAAGCCCCAGCACGGTGGACAGCACCTCTCTACCTACCAGAAGGAGGTGAGCTAATGCTACTGACACGCAACACTCAATCCGATACACACCCTGACACACTGATATATTCATTTTCATACACTCACGTCCACACTGACCCACACTGATACACTCCCAAATGCACTGTGAGAAACGTCCTGAGCTTTATCTGCACATTGAGTTAAGCTACCACCAGATACAGCAACAGAGTGGTTCTAAATTTTAATATGTTTTGCCAATGGTGTTAATATGCTGGACCGATTTGCTCTCATTCCAGAAAACAATAATAATTGTTAAAGTTCAAGCACTGAGAATGAGATTGCTTTCAATAAGTAAGTATATACCTCAGCTTTTGAGCTGAAAACCCCGGAATCCCTAGTTTGTTAAGAATGAAAAGGGAAAAGACATCATACTACTGCAGGAGACATGATGTCGGGTAGACAAGTCCACCAACGGTCCCCCAGGCTACAAGGAGATCATTGTGTCCTGTGTAACAAAAGTGATGGCTGGGATTCTGGGGGATCATTGTGTGATGCAGAGCAGAACCGATTGACTCCATACAGCCTGTGAGGAGAGAAGACTCATGTGTTTGGCTTAAAATCAGTAGAAATATCATCACATATCACATTTGTCACACCACACACTGATCACCTCACTCTGCTGCAGCAACAACAGTTCCAGCTACAGCTCTGTCAAGGGCTGGGCCTGCACATCGTCAAGGGCAGGAACAGGGGGGGCTGTTTGGGAAGGTTCACTTACAGCTCAGCTCTGGGCAGGGGTTTGGTGAAGTACGCTCTCACTGATCTGGACCCCCTCCTCTGTACGAACGTTCACTGTGACACTACAAACGCCAAATTGTACAAACTGTGTGTGTGTGTGTCTTTCTGTCCCCAGCTGAGTCACGTGTCTGTGTCTGTGTGTCTCTAGCTGAGTGAGGTGTGTGTGTGTCTGTCCCCAGCTGAGTCACGTGTCTGTGTGTCTCTAGCTGAGTGAGGTGCTGAGGGAGGTGAGGGAGGAAGTGCAGAAGGAGCATGACAGGAAGTTGGAGCAGCTGAGAGAGGAGCACCGCCACACTCTGCAGGACATCCGAGAGAAGTACTTGGAGGAGGTGAGGCACGGAGTGAGGTAAGGGGGAGAAAATGGGAGGAGAAAAAGTGGGGAAAATAGACAAAGAGAGTGGAATCTAAGGGAGTGATAATGATACAGGGATCAGCTTTGGTTGTCTTTGAATGTTTGAACAGAGGAAAGTGTAATCACAGAGGAAAGGCACGATACTAAAGCACAGTAAAGCCAGCGGGTGTCTGTCTGCCTGTCTCCAGGAATGCAGGCAGAGAGACGGGTTGCTGGGAACCCTGCAGGAGGAAAGAGAGAAGCTGCTGTCCAGCCATCGCAAACAGCTGGAGGAGCTCTGCTCACAGCTGGACGCACAGCTGCACGACGCCCGTCAGGCACACAGGCACAAGGTCCGTTAGGCGGGCATGCTGGGAAGCCTGTCGGGAGGCAGGGGTTGCTTTTGTGAGGCTTCATTTCCATGGAATGTGGGAAACTACTTTTTAGGGGAAGTCAGGTTGATGTTTACCATGGCGGTGCAAGGTCAGGAGACAAGGCCAAACAGTAGTATAGTTTGCTTTAGTTCTTAAAGTGGTAAAAGTGCATGTACAGTGATGTCACGTTGTAGTTACATTGTGTTCAGTCCTGTTGCTGTGTGGGTGCAGCATGTACTTATTTGTCAACAATCTATCATCGATATATTATATCATTGGCCATTTGAGTGTTCATGTTCAGTATTGATTAGTATATCATCAGTGTGTGCAGTATCGATGACGGTACATTGTCAGCAGTGTGCACAGCATTAACAACACATTACTTGTGCCTTCTGTGTTTAGTGGTGTGCAGTGTGGGTGATAGTGTATGGACAGTGCTGTGTTGTGTGCTAACACTGTCCTCTCTGCTTCAGGAAAGTGAGCTTCAGAGACAGGGGGAGGAGTTGGAGCTCAGGGCCAAAGAGCTGAAAGCCAGGACTGCAGCTCTCCAAGCTCAGGTACTGACGGAGGGCTTCCAGCTGTGATCGTTTTCTCTCTGTAAAACACTCTGAAGCACCTTACAAATCACATACTCCCTAGAGACGATAATCTTCTCACGTGGCCCTTTCAAATGAAACTCACTGCAGCCCTGCTCTGACACTGCGGGGGCTGCCCCTGCTCTCTCTCCTCCAGGAGGAAGACTTCAGGAGCAAAAGGGAGCAGCTGGAGGAGGAAGAGGAGCTGAGGGAAAGAGGCAGGCAGGTGAGTCTGGTCACCCTTCATCACCGGCCTCATTATTGTAATGCTACTGCTTCTCCTCCTCCCTCTGGGCCAGCGCTGTCTGGACACACAGCCTTCCACTGTGTCACTGTGCAGGAGAGAGACCGGCTGAGGGAGGAGAGAGACCGGCTCCAGGCGCAGGGCCAGCGGCTGAAGGAGGAGAGAGACCAGCTCCGGGCACAGGGGCAGCGGCTGAGGGAGGAGAGAGACCGGCTGCAGGAGGAGAGAGACC